GTGTTATCGTGCGAGTATGAGACGGTGTTATCGTGCGAGTATGAGACTGTGTTATCGTGCGAGTATGAGACTGTGTTATCGTGTGAGTATTAGACGGTGTTATCGTGTGAGTATTAGACTGTGTTATCGTGCGAGTATTAGTCTGTGTTATCGTGCGAGTATGAGACGTGTTATCGTGCGAGTATGAGACGGTGTTATCGTGCGAGTATTAGTCTGTTATCGTGCGAGTATGAGACGGTGGTATCGTGTGAGTATTAGTCTGTGTTATCGTGTGAGTATGAGATGGTGTTATCGTGCGAGTATGAGTCGGTGTTATCGTGTGAGTATTAGTCGGGAGTATTAATCGTGTGAGTATTAGAGTATGAGACGTGTTTTCGTGTGAGTATTAGTCGTGTGAGTATGAGACGGTGTTATCGTGCGAGTATGACACGGTGTTATCGTGTGAGTATTAGTCGGTGTTATCGTGCGAGTATTAGTCTGTGTTATCGTGCGAGTATGACACGGTGTTATCGTGCGAGTATTAGTCGGTGTTATCGTGCGAGTATGAGACGGTGTTATCGTGTGAGTATTAGTCGGTGTTATCGTGTGAGTATGAGTCGTGTTATCGTGTGAGTATGAGACGGTGTTATCGTGTGAGTATTAATTATCTGCATAATTAAGGGCGTGGCCACTTGAGTGACAGGTGGATTACCGCTGCTGTCACCGGCGTCGAGCTTGGTGGGCGTGGTTTCAGCAACCAGCTCACGCCTCTTTGCCCATCTTCGATTATCCGGGAGAAATGGCGATGGCCGGCTCCGCCCACTTTAGGCTTCAAAACCGCTCTTCGGAAACCTACGGGTGACGTCACGGACACTACGTCCATGTTTTTATACAGTCTATGGTTTATACCAGCCAGCCGCGGCACGTTTCTGACACGACTCTCCGCGTTGCTTTGCTAAAAATAGTCTTTTGTGAGTTGTCACAGCGTGGAGGACGGAACAAAACCTCGTCGGAGCCGTAATGGATAACGGTAACATAATACGCTGATCGTGGGCTGCTCTTAAATTAACATTTATTTATAAAACAAAATATCTTCTTTGGCCATATTAGCCTACACAATAGCATTAACACAGGCTTTTCTCCTTTCAAACTTTATCTGGAATGTCACCGTTTCTCTCAATGCAACTTCCCGATCAGGAGAACACACACACGCACACTCACTCTCTCTCTCTCACACACACACACACACACACACACACACACACACACACACACACACACACACACACACACACACACACACAACCACAACCCCACAACACCACACCCCCCAACC